ACCAGGTTTGTTTTTTCAAAAAAATGGCCAAAAAAGAAAATTTTTAGGAAAAAGGAGGATCAGCGGAAAGATTTTTTTTTTTTTTTTTTTTATCTATTTATTTTTTACTATATGTATTATTATATAAATAATAATAAATAATTTATAAATATAAATGATTTTTTTTATAAATTTTATAAATTTTTATTAAATAATAGATAAATAGTTATTGAATTTTTAATAAATGGTTAATGAACTTTTATTGAATAGTTTTGATAAACAGTTGTCAAATTTTTAATAAATAGTTAATAAATTTTTAATGAATAGTTTTAATGAACAATTGTCAATTTTTAATGAATAGTTTTAATAAATAGTTGCCTAATTATTAATAAACTATTAACTAATTTTTGATAAATTATTAATAAATTAATACTGTATTTTTATTGAATTGCTAATAAATAATTTTGTGATGAACTTTTAATGAATTTTTGCTAAATAGTTTTTAATTATTTAACAAATTATTAATGAATTTTTTGATAATTTGTTGTTAAACTTTTAATTGATGAATTTTTGATTGCTGAATTTTTTGATTGCCAAATTTTTTATTGTCACTTTATTGACAAAATAGTAATATGCTGAGTAATAGCAATCAAAAAGAATAAGAATTTGGCAATATTTTTATTATTAAATTTAATCAAATTCAACAATAATTCAATTGCTGAATGACATAATTTTGACTAGTGTTAACTTAGATCCTATATGTATATAATGCCCAAGTATATTTTGTACTAAGTAGTCAATTGTAGTAAATAAATATACACTACTAGTCTAACTTAATGAATAAAAAAAAATTAAAAATACATTTTTTAATAATATTTAAAACTTTTACAGAAAATCCAATAAATCTAATTAGAAGATATATAAAGCTTTTATTTCTTTGGTTTTAAACTATTGATTCAATATTATTGATTCTTATACTTTTAATAAAATCTAATCACAATTACTATGTATCTTTTTTAATAAAGAATTTTAAATTACCACAAAATGCTCCTATCTATGGAAACACAAGCGCCATATACAGTATATACTGTACGTAAATTTATATTGATGTTTCATAAAATATAACTTTTAATCATTATTTTAGAAGATTGCGAACACGCGTATAGTAATAGTTTTTAATTAAAGTTGAAAAAAAATTTTTTTATTAAGAATTAATTTTTTGATAAAAATAATCAAATTTATTTTGATTTTCAAAGTTGCTTTGAATTTAATTTCTTGTCTATATAAGGATTCACGCGAAGCGTAGGTTGCATCACAAAAATGTGTCGGAATATTAAATATTAGCTCGTAACATATAGTAGTAAAACTTCAAATCACAAAACCAATCTCTAGAAAGGTTTTTAAATAAATGACTTGATGCCATACTTTAAATTTTTTTTATCAAAACTTTTGAAGAAATTAAAAATATAAATGCCATGAAATATAGAATGCTAAATTGTTCATAAATACGCAAATCGCGTTTATTTGGCGGATGAAACGTTACGTTGTCTCAGCCCGGAAACCTGGTCAGACTTTTCGTTGGTTTCCTCTAGTCGTTCGTACGCGTCGTAACCTTTTGGATTCGCGTTACGGATCCTATAAAAATGGGTATGATGGTCGATATCAGCAAATATAATCCAACAGGTTTTTTTTTTAAAAAGCAAAAAAAAAAAAAAAGCAAGACTTACAATCGCAAGAAAGCCTCTTCCAAACTTTTCTGACTAACACCCCAGGCTCTAATCAATTTCTTTCCGGGCTCGGATTCGCTCATCTCATCATTTTCTTCCAGCCACTTGATGAACGGTGGTAAAGTCGGCAGTGAAGAAATTGGCATCTCGTATATCAAAGCACCAGCCGAATCGTCCTCCAAATTTACACCGGGCAGTTTCGATTCAACTAATTCCTTAAGTCTCGGCGAATCTTGAGGGTTGGTGACGAGCGATATGCGATAACCGGTGCCGAATTTGTTCTTGAGGTGAATCGTGTTACCGAGGGCTCTCAATTTACCGTGAGCCATGACGCATATACGATCTCCCAGTACATCGGCCTCCTCCATGGAATGTGTGGTCAGAATGATAACTCGACCCTTCTTGAACTTCTCGATGAAACTCCACACATGGCGTCTATTCACCGGATCCATACCGGTGGTTGGTTCGTCCATAAATATGATCTTGGGGTCTCCGATGGTGGAGATCAACATACTGAGACGGCGCTTCATACCACCGCTATAAGATCCCGCCGGCTTGTTCGCGACCTTGTTTAGACGTACCGCAGCCAAACGTTCAGTAACCAATTTTTCGATCTCCACAGGAGGTATGTTCTTGATGCCAGCATAAAGTTCAATGTGTTCCCGCGCGGTTAAATCGTTGAAGAGGATATCGTGCTGGGGGCACACGCCCATAATGTTGCGAATCGAACCCATGTCAGTTTTAAGACTGAACCCGTATAATAACGCGTCACCTCTTGTGGCTGGAGTAGCACCGGAAAGGATGTTTATCGAGGTACTTTTACCAGCACCATTCTGACCCAACAATGCCAAACATTTTCCTTCCTTTAATGTCAAACACAAATCGTTGACGGCCACCTTGTCGAGCTTGCTTTCAACAAACATTGACTGCTGGTAAACCTTGTTTAAGTTGCAAATTCTGACGGCAAAATTTCGCGTGGCATCGAAAGCAAGCGCACGTTCATTTGCAACGTCCTCATCCTCGCCATCATGATTCTTGCCAATTTTCTTGTTTTTGGCCAACCAAGTATTTAAGTCTGCAGACTTTTTAAATTTAATTCCATAGTAGCTGGGAGTTAAAAAGAAAAGTGGATTCCTGTAGTTGCCAAACTCATCTGGAATTACTTTGTCGAAGTACCACGTGAGAAAGCTATATAGTACAATGTTCATCAGTAGGAAGTACCAACTCTGAACAGGTGCCGGCACAACAGGAGTGCTACCAGAAGCGCTATATGGGGTAATAAATTTGCTAGGGATGGAATTGTAAAGATCACTCCAATGGAAGCCGGGACCGGGAATGACGGTCTGAGTCAGTTGGTCGAGTTTACCGGCGGTCAAATTTGATAAATCCAGAAAGAATTTACCAAAGTTGAAGAAAGGCAAAAACATCAAGATAATCCAACCTGCCGAACTGACGGAGCTACTCCACCAGATGTAACCGACGTATGCGTTGGAGAATACAAAAGATTGAAATAGGAGACCGATGATGAGGATTAAGATACCAACGAGTATGGCAACACGGGAACGACGACAGAAGGTTGTGATGAAGAATGCAAAAGTTGCCATGGCAAGACCAAAGAGAGTGAAGGCAATGAACACTACAGCAAAGTTTGCATTCCTGAAGACAAAGAATCCGAAAATTTCACCAAACACACATGTCACCAAGGAACAGGCGACGACCAGCCACGCGTTAGAGAGGAGATATGAAAGCCAATAGATTTCCACTTTCAAACCCATCATCACCAAGCTATCCTTCAATTTGTACTCTTTCTCGGTCACAATTGTGTTTAGGATGGTAATGAAAATTATCATTTCGGCACAGAAGAAGAAGGTGGCTCCAAATGACGAGACGATTTCGTCGTTGAGTTGAGTAGGTGGAACTTTGGGCCAATCCTTGAGATTAACGTTCAACTCGGCATTCGAATCATTTGTGGCGAATGCAACTGCGATGAATTAAAAACGTCCTTAGGCATTAGGAACGGTGTTGGTGGGCGGAAGTCTTTTTACAAACAAGAAAAACATACTAATAGCTTCATCAATTCCACGTTGGAAGGATAAAACCTGGTCGCCAAAGAAGTCGGTGTCATTCGCCGTGAGAGTACCATTAAACCAAATCTGATATCTATAATTCGTCGGTGGACCCGGATCAGTGCTAAATTCGATGGCAAACATCGTGACGTTTGGATTAAGCAGGGTGTAATTATAGATGAAGTTTGCGTCTTGCACGGGGACGATGCCAAGAGTTTTTTCCAGTTTGTCATTAAGTCCTGCGGGATGAATAAACGTTGTTAGCACAAGGATATGTGCAAATTGGGGGCATAGATTTATCATACCGAGGTTGACATTTTCAATGTTCAATGCATTTCCCGTTCGTTTAGCATTGTTGTTTGCAAAAATTTGCATGATTGCCGTGGAATCCGGTGAATTTGGAGTGAACATAAAATTGATGCAAGGTGTTGAGGTCGTGCGTCCCTAACAAAAATCGAATGAATTGGTGAGCTCAAAACAGTCTCAATCTCGTGTTCAAGATGACGACGGGGTAATTGAGGAATACCTGGCAGGGGAGAACACCGAGCAGAGGATACGATAATGGATGCAGATTTGACCTTAATAGCACACTATCATCGGCTTTTTGCAAGACGAAGAGGAGCAATAAAAAGAGAAACGGCCCAACAAAGATTTGAGAAATTGTTGATTTACGATATCGTATCTACGAAAAAAAAAAAACAAACAAACAAAACAAAAAAACAAAAAACGGATTAGCCTGATTGTAATACCAGGGAACGATCTGTCTCTGTGATCGGACGAAGGGTATATATATGCTGTGTGTATACGGTACTTGTAATATGAAATTTCTCTTTAGCATAATCCATAATTGCCTAAATAGTAGTCGAAGTCCTCCGGCCGAAGGCGCCGCGACATATCCCTGAGCAACGGTTTTGTTCGCCGAGTCAGCAGAAGTTGTAATTGAAGTCTCGCTTGCTGAAGCATCAGTTGCATGATGATTTGGCGACAAATATTTACTGTCCGTCATTATTTAATTTTAGAGCGTAAATTTTAATAACCTAGATGAGAATACCGATCATTATTCTATTAAAGATTATTTTCGATTTTGTTATTCTCTAGATTCGCCGATTTAAAAACAAGATGAGGAGGATTTTGGGCCTCTATTTAAAATGGTTGAGCCAAAAGAGAACAGATTACACTGCACACACACAAAGATTCCACAGGGAAAATACGATAATATTCATTATATAATTAAACGGATCTTCAAAGTGCAGCTCATATTAGACTTTCCAATATTAGTTCACGACGGAGACACTGCTCCATTGGCTAAATATTGATTATATGGACATGAAATGTTCGGTCGGATAAAATTTTACTGTTACAAGAAATTGGGTATCAAAATTGTCGGAGTTCTAGCACAGAGATTTCATTGGAGTGTGAAACTTGGCATTGCCAATTTTCCTGTTGGTATTACTCCGGGTTATCCGTCAAATGGTCAAATAAGTCTATGGGTACTATATGTTGAATCAGGTCTATCACATCGAGCACATTAACACTAATCTAGAAACTTGATTACAGTAATAAATAAAATTCACGAGGGCTATTTTATAAAGAAAACCGATTTCTTCACTTTCTGAAGAGCACAAGAACAAGAATTATAACATTATCGATTCTTCTGACTTAAAAAAGAAGCAACCAAATTAGAACCTCAAAAGGCAAATCTAACCACAATTCGCATCCGTCATTAAAATTGACGACCAAGTTAAATAATTATTAATAAGGTTGGTCAATATTTTTTTAAGCGGAATTTTTTCTCGCTTTTTCTTTACGGTCTCTTTCTTTTTTCTCCTCGTGTATAATGACATCGTCTCCACTGAGTCCACCCATAAACTCTTCATGAAAGGTGTGCTGTAACGTCGGCCTCGAGTCCGAAGATGCGGAATAACGACGAACAGGTGGTGGATTGAGAAGACTACCGTGAAATATAATATCAGATAGTTGGGTTAGAATGGAGGTCACACCGCAACGTCCATTTGATTTTTGCTAAGATACCTTTCCTCCTTTTTTTGATCTATCGCCTCTGGTGTCCCTTCTTTCTTACTACTTTCCGTCTGACCATACTTCAAGTGACGCGTGTTATCATATTTATCGGCGGTAGTGGGAGCACCTGCGGTATCGGTAAGAACATTTTTAAGTTTGGTGACGTGATCTTTGGAAGGATTAATTCTCGACATTGGGTAATCAATTACTAATGTTTATGGATTATATAAACTTTCTTGCTATCAAATTAACAAAGTGCGAAGAGAGTTACCATCGTTCCTTTTTATATTTGTGTGCGTTATATATTCGCTTACGATTACCTGACTATTAAAAGTCCAATAAGTGCCTACCATTTTATTTTTATGACGGAATTATGACACGTTATGACACTTGATTTTCGCCGATTTTTCCTTGTCTTGTATCTGATTGGCTTATTGTATCACCATATCGAACACATTGTTGATCGGAACCGGTAATATATATACTTTATATATACTGTATGCAGGGACAGTATATACTGTACGCGAATATGCACTTCTCTCGATCGCTCTTCGAAAGAGACGAATTTTATATAAGTCACATACAATATACTGTACGTGCAATGATAATGAAATTGGTTTTTTCAATCCTACGTAAAAATTATTAAAAGTACCAATTATTATTATCACCTTCTGGAACAAAACGGAGGAATGATATCATCGGGGTGTTGTCATATCCGTTACGTCACATTCTTTTGTTGTTCAATGTTATTATTAGATGCATTATTTCTTCGGAGAAAGATTAATATGGAAGTTATTCTTCGTTCATGTTAAAAAGAGAAAACCTAGGAACGAATGGTGTCAAAGTCGGGCATTGACGGGGAAATATGACTCTTACCTTAAATTTCCCTCGGATATACGAGAATATCGTGATTGGATAGTGGTAAAAAAAATCCTTTTTAGGCGACACTTAAATTATCGCCTAAAATCAACATCTTGGATTATACTGTATACTGTATGATGGGTACAATTAAGTTTTTGGATTACCATATCAATACTCGTTTAAACCATGCCTTCGTCCTGCTGAATGTTTAATGAATTGTTGTAAAATTTATAGTGAAATTCCACGATGAATTCTTACAATTTGATTTGATTTAGTATTCACAAGTATATACAGCATACTGTATATTGTACATACTATATACTGTATATACTGTACGTACAGTATATATTCAATCCATATCTTATCCGATTTTTATTCAATAAGTTGTGAATTCTTTTTTTAAATACATTCTTTAATATGTTATCGCATATTATTTCATTTCACAGTAATCACCTTTTTTAATTCGGATTTGGTTTGTGATTTTCTGTTTTTATGAATTTAGCACTTGATTTCTTCTTGCCATATATTCTTTAAATTGAGATTAAGTAACTATGGAGACCATTCTATGGTCACAACTCCAAGCTCAGATTTAAGCTCTATCAGGATTTTACATTTATAAATGACACTTTATCTCTTGAAGTATCGTCTTATCAAAAATCATCATTGGATAAATGTTTTCAAAAACAATTATATACTTTTCACCATTCATATGAAATATAGTGTAAAATAAATAGTATAGATCAGATTCATTTAAATATTTTCAGATCATTATGGATTTGCAATTACTTTTAATAATTGTTTAGATATAATTTGACACTAGTCAAAATTATGCCATTCAGTAGTCAAATTATTGTTGAATTTAATTAAATTTAATAATAAAAATATTGAAAAATCATTTTCGATTATTGCCACTTGGCATTAAAAATATCAACAAAAAATTGACAAATAAATTTTGGTATATTATGTCAAAAAAATTTGACACAAATTTGATAAATTGTAAAAAAATTTTGATATGTGCAAAAAATTTGTATGTTATAACAAAAAAATTTTTTGCAGACTGTGACAAAAAATTTGACAAGAAAATTGA